ACCCCGTTGCTCAAATTTTCTCCGGCCAACTTTTTTTTTCTCCATGTGGAGCCCTTGGAAATTTATTTTTCTTGGTTTAGCTGGTCCGGAATAACCCGGACCATCGGCCGGCCCCCTCATTACTACTGTCCCCTCCTCTCCTCCTTTCGGCGCTTGCCGCGGCGGTACTTGTCATTTTCATCCGGACCCCTGGCCCGGACGGTCCCGCCCACCTGTCATTATGTTGTTTTATTTTTATCGTTGTTGTACTTGATCCAGGATCCCCCCCTGGGTCGCCCCAGGTGTCCTCCGTTTTTCCCGTTGCATGTCCGTTTTCCCCGTTTCGTTGACAATTTCTATCAGCGCCCGACTTCTCGTCTTCTTATTGCTCCTAGTCCCTCCCCTCTTTACGGCATCACCCCGGGTGATGACCCGCTTGCGCGCGTCCCTCTATCGGCCGGTTGCCAACTATCCCGCTTACGGCTCCGACCTTCGTCCTCCGTCCGCGGCTCCTGACGTTTTTATCCCATCCATACTCATCCTACTAGTGGTTCCGTCGGCGCCGTCATCCCGTCTAGGCCCACGTGGTTTCCTGGCACTTCGGGCTACCTGTATTACGTCTTTCCCTTGGTCCCACGCAGTTTCTGGTACTTTGCCCTGCCGGCACCACGCCGTCCCTTGGTCCCGCGTGGTACCCGGCGCTTTGTCCTGCCGGCACTACGCCGTCCCTTGGTCCCGCGTGGTCCCCGGCGCTTTGTCCTGATGGCACCGCCCCGTCCTTCGATCCCATGTGGTCCCTGGCACTTCTGCCTTGCTTGTACCACGTCTTTCCTTGGTGCCCCCGACGTCTTTCTGCCTTACAGCGACCTCCGCTCCCCAACTCCTATTGCGTCCCGCATGCTATTCCGTTCCGGGTGCCGGCTCCTACCTACCCTGCGGTCTTCTTGATGCCTTCACCGTCGTGTTGCATCCACGCCTTGCGTCCTGTCTAGCTGCTTTCTCCTCATGCTAATACTAATTCTTCGGCGTCCCTCCTCCGCTCTCGGGGAAGGGGGTCGCCTTTGTCATTCTCTCTCCCAGTCCTTTGCTGCCCCCTGCCTAGATAGTTTTCTCTCTACTATGGTGGTCCTGACGACCCTGGGCAGCCTCCCACCTCCTACCGTCCATGCTCATGCTTCCGAACTTTCCAGCATTCCTGCCTCCGGTTTTCTCTGCCGTGCACAAATTGGCCATATGCAGTCTCTCGAGTGACGGGAAATCATTCGGGACTCACCAGTCCCGACATATTCCCCCCACTCATTCACGATGTCCTCATCGCGCACCAATCCATGGTCAGTAGGGACTTTGGAGTGATAGACAGACAAGGAAGGGGAGTGGGGTGGGATGAGCAGTTAGCATGTCAATGTTCCTCTTGTCTTTCTTACTCTTTTCTCGGGTCCTTCTTTAGGTTTTCGCCCCTTGGGCGGGGGAGGGTATGGAGGGGTCAAAGTTTTTGTTTCAGGCTTCCTCTGGGTTGCGTTACGTCCCCAAGCTCAATAATGTCTTTGTAACGGGCGCCTAACCCTCTCTGTGCATTAGCGTCCGTCTCACAGCTGTATCTCGTTCTCACTGGAACTCCCAAATACCCAAGAGCCTCCCCACAACTTCCCGTATCATTCCACAAGAGAAAGGACGACGCGCCCATCACCCTCCCAGGGGCCGAGGTAAAGGGGAGATTTTGGCGACGGATTGTCACAGAGGTCTTTCGCCATGGCTTCCTCCAGGTGTGACCTAGCAACACGTCAAGGAGCTTAAGCAGTTTTGATGTCTCTTTCCCTCATCAGGTTGACTAGCATCGCCCCTTGGAGGGGTCTGACCGCAGACATGTCCTGCATATTGTTTTTCATTGTACGTTATTTCTTGCTCTCGACAATGTCTTGAAGGCTGCATTCGTAATCTCAAATCTATCTTCCCATTTCATCAAGAAAACATTCTTGAGCAGACATCCTTCCGGTCTCATTCCATTTATTACTCTTAGGGCCTCCCCACATTTTCGGTGCAAGTTTTCTTCTCCCCAAGCTCAGGTATAGCCAAATCCACATGCATCCCTCCCTGACCGTTCTTTCCGACTTTTCTCAAGTCCTGCCAAATCTGCATGCATGTCCCCCTGTTGTCCTTACTTGCCCTTTGCTCGATTATCTTTCCATATGCAATGCTCAACCCATTCCTTAGCTAGGCCCTTCTTTTCAAGGCAATCCCTCAGCCATTCCCCAATCTGCCAATTCCTTTCTCGGGTCCACGTAGAACCAATCTCATCAATCCTTTCCCTCCAGGTTGTCTTGCCAGACTCTTTTTCTCAGGTCCATACCATGTCACTTGCTCAAGTCCTTTCTGCCCTGGCGTCTTGCCAGGCCCCCTTTTCTCAGGCCCATGCAAAGCCAATTACAATCTTTTTCTGTTCCGGCCATCTTGACAGGCCCCCTTTTTTCCTAAGCCCATGCAAAACCAATTACAAGTCTTTTTCCATGCGTATTGATTGGCAGATGGCACACCTTCCCCCCACTCAAAGCGCGATGTCCCCATCGCGCGACTGGTCCTCACTCGGAGGTACGAGACCTTTGGCCCACCAACCGCAGTCAAGGACACAAGCCCATCCGCTTCACAAAAGGAAGAGTGATCATTTCCTCCCCAGCGGACGACGCCTCATCCTCCTACTCGGTCCGACGTTTCTTCTTCTACGTGGCGAGCACCGATACCAAGGTTTCTCATTACGTCTGTCAGGTAGGTCCAATCCAAGCCTGTCAAGGTCTCGTCTAGCCGTAAGAGTGTTCCTCGCGAATCGTTCCTCCCAAGTGGTGATTTTCTGGATTCCGGCCTCTTTCTTTCAAGAGAGTTGGGGCTCTCAATTAGTTCGCGAGTGCAGTTACGAAGACCTCGCAATTAGTCCCGAAGCGGTTGTAATGCTCCGGCAGGGCAGTGTCAGTGCCCTGTCGTGGTCGCGGACTCCACCCGGTACTCCGCCAAGTCCCTCCCCTTGGACAGTGCTGCCCAACTTAGTGCGGGCAGCCGAGGTCCGACCCAAACGGCCATGGCAACCCTCTATGACATGGCATGTGGTTGGGGAGGACAAAATAGACTAGATGAGAATGACATCCTCGCCCATTTGGCTTTCTCGCCCTTTGATGTTTAGGCGTTCAACAGGAGGCGCAGTTTGAACTCCCCGGCTAGAGCTCATTGCCGGGGGTAGTTCCGGACGTCCCGCACCGATCCAAGTGGTAAGTGCCTTAGTCCTTTAACCCTCATTTCCTTGAAGAGGAACAAGCCGCGCTGAGACTTTTTCCCTTAAAGGGATAGAGGTCTTTGGGGTTGCGGTGCATGCACCGGTATCCCCCTCTTGCTGAGGCCAAAGACTAGAAAAAAGAAAAATTACATTTTAAGGCTCTTTCCAAATCCACTTCCAGTTGCCTAAGGTCCCCTGTTTATGCAATGCAATTTTCAATACTCAATCCAATTTCAATGCTCAGTCTCATTCCCATGCTCAATCTCAGTTCAGTGCTCAATCTCAGTCCAATGATCAATCTCAGTCCAATGCCCAATACAATATATCTTCCAAGGCTGAGTCCAATATCCTTTTCAAGGCTGAGTCCAATATCTTTTCCAGGACTGAGTTTTTTCCAATCTCCTTTTCAAGGCTCTGCTCTTTCCAATTTCTTTTCCAAGGCTCAGCTCTTCCAATACCATGCATCTCAAGCAGCCATGCAAGGGGACCTCAGTGCCAATTCCAAAGAATGACCCTTGTCGGGGGCCATTCCGAACAACCTGGTTAGGGTTGTTCTTTCCACTTCCAAGTCGAACAGACTGGTTAGGGTCATTCTTATCCATTTCAATTGGACAGTCTGGTTAGGACCATCCTTATCCATTGCAATGTTAGCGCCCGAGGGGGTGGGCCTCGAGGTCACGGATCCTATCTCGTCTCGGGGTTTAGAGGGTGGTCATCATCTTGGGTTTTTACACATGCTTCTTCCTTTTATCATTCTCAACAATCCTTTATCATTCATACGTACACCCGACTTAGCGTCTAATGCTCGAGTTGAGGCTCGCAACCCCAAGCAGCACTAGCTCGCCCGACCGTTCAACCATTACAGGGGGTGTTGCATCATTTCCATGTTTCCTTGCCACTTTTCTGACTTCTCATACGCTTTTCAATGCTCTGGGATTGCCTGGGGTAGGTTGGATTAGGCTCCTAGGGGAGAGGGTGCCTCTCTACCCAGAGGTCCCCTAACCTCTCACAAAGACTCGTGGAGCGACTCATTCAATCAAGGACACACAATTTCGAAAAAAAAGAACTTTCGCCATGACTGCATCTTCCAATGTTCAAGAGTTCACATGCCCCTGCCTATTTTCTCGAGGCAAAGTCAATCATCCCCAAAGTCCGTTTCTTACTACCAAAAAAAAGTTCCCATTTTTCCCAAAGAAGCGAATACTTATACAAAGTAGTACAAGTCTCCCACCCCCCACTAGTTTCCTCAGCCCAAAAAGTAGTTTCATTACAGTCCTTCCCAAAAAGGAGGAGACATAGTTCGAATGCAACGACAACATTACAGGCTCGTCTCATCTAGGCCCCCCTTGTTTGCCCTTTTTCTTTCCCTTAATCTACCCGGCCAACCAGAATTCTATTCTGAGTGCAAAAAGCTCTCGTCTCATTCCCGAAGAAGCAACGACTTATATGAAGTAGCATTCATTACCCAGTCCTTAGCCGCTTCGGGCTTAGCAGCTGTCTCATCACAGTTCGTTCGGAAGAAGTTCAAATGTGCAAAAAGGAAAGATGGTCGTTCTTTGCTGCCCGGTTACCATCTCTTCCCTGATTCCCAGCTATTCTCATCATGCCTGCTGTCCCTTTTTACTGTCCCGGCCCCCGGCGCCGAGCCTCCCTCCTTGCACGGTCCTCCATCTCTTGCTCCATTAGCCTCTTTATCGTCTGTAGATGGCGGAGCGTTTCTTCTAAAAGAAGGATGTTGGGGATATGTCTTCTCCCCTGCTCAACTTTTTATGGCCCTTCATTGCCTACTGATAACACAAAATACTGGCCCATTGATCGAACCAATCGTTGAAAGTTGGCCCGAATTATCTTTTCCATGGGTCCTCTTTTTCCCCTGGGTCCTCCTCACTTCCCTGATCTTCCCTTGTGGGCGTTACCTCATCTTCCTCCTCGTCGCTGGTGAGGTCAATGAACTCCACGGGCTCATTCTCTCTCGGCCGTTGTCCTTCCTCTGGGTTCCCCTCTTCCTTATCACTAGGATCACTGTCTGAAGGCAGCTCTATCGGCTCCCGTTCCTTTAGTGGTGACGGCCCTCTGGTCCCTTGTTTCTTGCCCCCTCTGTTCACAACTAGGTTGTGATCGAACCCCACATACAACTTCCTTTTCTTGGAGCTTGACTCTCCAGCTTGCCTAGACGACCGTCCCTCTTCCGCCCTATTGATGACATTGCTGTCATTCTCATTTCCATACTCCATCTTGTTGTTTTCTTGCTGTTTTCTCCTCGCCTGGCCCTGTTCATGCATAACAGTCACGGTACCCCTCATACACACGCATTCCCTTCCACTCCCATTTGCGGCTTTGGAGGCTTCCCTAGAACTCTTGCTTGCCCCCATATAGTTGGTAGCCCCATTATCCCTTAGAACCCTCGACAAATTGTCTCAACACATAGGTGCCCTATGTAGGCAATCCACATCATCACCCCACAAAAACTATAATTACACTGTTCCGTGCTCCCAGGCCCAGTCACAGTCAGCCCAGGCAGTCTCCCCATGTTTCACAAAAGTCAAGACACACAAACGAACAATCCCCGTGGTCATGATCACTTCCACAGGGAGGCGGTCCAAAACTTATAGCCAGTTGCCTGCCTTTCAGGCTGTCAGTTCCCCAGTTTCCCTGTCCTGGGCCTCTTGTAGCCACTGTTCCACCGGATCCCTGCTCAAAAATCTGACCAATCTCTGGAAATGACCCTCTTATGCTAGTACCATCGAGATCCTCAAGTTCAAATGTGTTCAGTCCCACCCGCTTAGCGATCCTGTAAGGCCCTTTGAATCTTTTTCCCAGCTGCCCGGATCATGTGCTTTCAAGAGTCGAGTTCCTAACTAGCACTTTTTCCCCCACATGGAGTGGCTCCTTCCGAATGTTCTTAACCTGGTCCCATCTTGCCTTATCCCTCATTCGGTTGTCCGTCACACGATTGACTACTTCCTCGAGTACCTCCTCATTCCTGGCGACCTGCTGACAACGTGCGGTGATTAACTCTTTCGTGCTCAAGTGTGGATCGTCATCTAGCCTGTTCCAGGTAGGGACCAAAGCTTCTATCGGAAAATCGATTACCCTTCCATACCAGAGTTCCGCTGGAATACATCCCGTCGTTCTTTTTGGAGTCATGTTCTCGGCGAAAACTGCCTGCTTGAGAAACCGTGACCACTTTCCCAAGTTATCTGCTGCCAACTTTGCGATTGTGTTCTTCAAAGTCCGGTGATCCCTTTCTACTGGTGCATTTGCCTCAGGATGGTAGGGCTCGGTGATCTTGATTGGTACACCCAGTGACTTAAGCCTGTTCAACACCTCCTAGTTAACGAATTATGTCCCATTGTCTGCCATAAACCTGCGCACGAAGGGGTACCTTAGGTAGAAGTCTTCCACCCAGTCGGCCACTGCTTTCCCTGTCTTCTTCTTGAGGGTCACGGCTTCTACATAGCCACTGAGATTATCCCTTGCATCCAAGAAATAACTAAACCTATCCATCGATACGGGCATAACGGCGAGATCGAGGTGAACAAGGTGTCCGGGTCCCAGTACCCGGGTGGGCGTAAGGGGCTCGTAAACCCGTACGGAGCTCCTCTCTTGACATATCAGACACGTCTGACCGTACGTTGCGACCATGTCTGTCATTCCTGGCCAGAAGTGCAGGGGCACAATCTTTGCGAGTGTCCCCTTTGACGACCGATGACCCCCAGCTAGCCCATCGTGCATTGCCTGAATTACGTCCAGCTGCCTAAACCTCCCACAAATGACGCGTCTAGGCATCGTCCCTTCCTCTCTCTTGAACAGGTGGCCATTTCTTAGGACATACTTTCTACTTCCTCCCTTGCCTTGGGACTGACTTCCATGGGTTGTTTGTTCCCTACCAGCAGCAGACCGATTTCTTTGAAGACGCCCTCATACATTTGTATGAGGAAAAATTCTTGTTCGTTCTGATCCGCACCCTGCTCCTCCCGAGTGAGGTTAACTAGGTACTGACTCTCCTTCTGTACCCAGGTTTCGACCAATGTCATTACGGCGTCTCATCCCTCTTCCACGACCATTGCCATCAATTCCTCTTTGGCCCCTACTACTGCTCCCCACGAGTCTTTTTCCTTTCCTCTTTACGGCTGACTGTGGTGACAGGTCCTTCCCTGAGTTCTGCAACTACTGCAGGTGCGCCCTTTTCCAAGGTTTGAATCAGCAACTGTCCTATTGTAATTGTCGGATCTGCCATCTCATTATCTATGACAAGAGTCTCTCCTTCATATTCCATGAAAGCGTCGATTGGTTCCGCGTCCTCTACTCCTTCGGCCGTGATGCATATCCTGCTCAGCCCATCTGCCCTATTTCAAAGCCCCGCAATCCGCTTGACCTTATAGTCGAATTGCCATATGAAGCCTATCCACCTGCCAACGGTCGGGTCTATGGGCTTGTAGTTCTTTAAGGCTCCGGCAACGTTGGTGGGATCGATCCTTAGGATAAATCGCCTCCCGAACAGGTATGCCTGGAAAGTCTTAAGACAATGTAGGATTGCTAGGACCTCCTTCTTGAACTGCGAATACCGTCATTCTGCTGAATTCCGGGTCCTACTTTCAAATTTGATCGGTCTTTCTTTGCCCTCCTCGCTTCTCTGTATCAATACTCCTCCCACTGTCAATGGTCCCCCGTCTGTTTCTAAGATGAAGGGCCGTCCCACCTCGTCATTGAAACAGGGTGCTGCTAACGTGACCTGATCGGATGACAGGATGTCTTTCAGGGTCTGGGCTGCCTCTTCCCTGTCCTCTGTCCAATCCATAGTGCCACCTTCCCTAATCATCGCGCGGATGGGTTCTGCTATCTTTGCGAATCCTTTGATGAAGATCCTCCAGAACCCAACCACCCCTAGGAAGGCCCGTACTTCCGTCGTGGTACGCAGGGGTGTCAGCCACTGGGAGATTTTATCCGTCTTTACTGGGTCGGGTCTCCTCCCGTAAGCTCCGCAACGAGATCCCAGTATGGTTACTTCCGGGACGACCAGGATGCTCTTGGGTCCGCTTGTAGTAATATTGTAAACGAGGAAGCGCTGGAGTAGGTCCTTAATATCCTGCAGGTGGTCCCAAACAAATCTTCGTACGCCCGGCTCGACCTCCATCTCGTCTTTGTACCTTGCGCCTTGTACGGGGTTATCATCTATATATGGTTCACAATTTTCCGGAAACATATCCCCTGCGACGGCGAGCATCCTCCTCTGGGTTTCTGCTATCGCATTTGTGAAGCCCATACGGGTCACTTGCATCTGCAGTTGTCCTACCGGGGTGTGCATTGCGGTGTACGGTCTATCCCTCGCATCGAGCGGCAACTGATCATATCATGAGTACAAGTCTACTAAGGAGTAAATACTCCGCCCCGCATGAGATTTTGCCAACGAGTCGGCTTGTGGAAGCGATCATGCGTCCCTGATTGTTACCGCATTGAGCTTTTGCAGGTCCTGGATCCACCTGAGCGTCTTATTGGGCTTCCTGAATACGAACCACTTGTTCGCGTAGGGAGATGCGGTGGGTTCAGCCACAAACGAATCTATCTTGGCCCTAAGCAGATCAGTGACTTCCGCTGTTATCCCAAACTCGTAGGCAGGCCCTTTGTCATTCCAACATTCGTGCTCTACCGTGTGGATCCTAACCGGGGGAACTAGCTTTGTGTCCAATCGCCTTTTCTGGTGGTCATTGAAAGCAAAGGCTAAATGAAACTCCTGACATGCTTTTCTTATCAGCTGAGTTTCCTCCGCTGTTAAGAACCCTTCCACTCCTATTTTCATAATATCTGCTACCTCATCAGGTATTCGATGCCCTTCCGCTGCTCTCCTTTCCCTTATAACTCGTAGGATTTCCTCTTCCTTCTCCATGGCCTCTTCCTTTGACGTTTCTACCAGGATCGAGACCGGCTTGGTCTTCTTGCCTACGGGTTTATACTTTCGCACACTACCTTCGGGGATTGTTCTCATAAAAAATGAACGGTCGGGGTCGGCCTTGCTACCTCCAAGACGCGGGGCTGGACGCTGACTAGTTTTCCGTTCAGACAGTAGCCCTTTCGAACCTCGTCCTCAAATCTAGCAAGCGCTACCTCCTCTTCCAGGGACTTCAAGGGACTACACAAGACGCGGGGCTGGACGCTGACTAGTGGCCTTAACAAGTTGTAGTAAATCTGGGATTTCAAGTACTACCTCCGACGTTTCGTTCCGGCCTTCCTTTGGTTTGGGCGGGCTGGCCCCAAGTTTGACTTCCGATTCTTTTTCTGCCACCATCACTTCCAGGGACTCGTCCTCTGGCCTCCTCTTCTTTACGGGCAAGCCCATCTTGATCCATTCCTTTTTACTAAAGCCTCCTCAATCATAATTTCTACCCTTTCCCTCATTCCTTCCATTCGCGCGAATGCCCCCTTCCGTGCACTTTCTTCGAATGTTGGCAACCAGGTTGCCAATTTGCCCTTCGGAGGGTCCCCTCCAGTTCCGAGGAGTCGGAAGAGTTCACCGCGACCAGTCACCGGATCCTCTATGTCTACCATGTATGTGTCGTCGTGCGGATGCATTCCTATCATTTCCACATTGGCGCACCATGGTCTCCCGAGGGTTACATCGTGATCCATTTCTTCCATCACGGTCATCCGCTGAAAGGACCAGATGGATTCCCGGATATCCGCCCTGACTGCACATTTGGTGACATACCCTGTGAAAGCGATTTTGTCACTGACTCCCCGGATACTCCCTGCTACTTCCTTGTTTACTGTGCACCCCGTGACTGTTGCGAAGTCTCATCGTATGAGGGTGATTTCTGCTTCACCGTCCACTAATGCGTCAGTGTGGTGAGTTCCGATCTGGATTTTAAGCTTTCCTACGAGCAGTGCGTGGAAGCTAAGTCTAGTGCCAGGCGGTGCTCTCATGACTTCACCACCTTCTCGGTCCGGCAGGTTCAGACGAATGTCGGCAAAAGCTTTTTCCAAATCTTCCAGGCCCCCTGGGATGCTTTGGAGGTTGGAAACTCCTTGCGGCGTCTCGGTCTCTTCCGGGTCCTGCTCTTGCAGTTCCGGGGCCTCCTCTACCTCTACGCGCTTACGCGTTAGCAACTGCCTAAGTCCTTTAAGCAGCCTCGGGCTGGCTTGCAGCATAGTCTGAAAAGACACCGATACCATCGTACCCAGTAGCTTACTCAAGGTACCATCGATTTCTGGCGAAGTCAGGATCGGAATTTGATACCTGAACTTTTTTTTTGCCGCCGCAGCCTTGTCTACCGGTTCCTCCTCTCTCGGCTTCGCATAGACCTTCTCTTGATCCCCGACGTCGGTCTCTTGCTGGCCCATGCTAGTCCCTGCGAGTTCTTCCATTACTGTACCTTGAACAAGTTTCCTTTTTGTGCCAGCTCGGCGAGTGGTGATATTCACCCTATCCTGGCCATTGTCTTCTAGGATAAAATTGGCATGTGGTCCCCGTCCCCTTGGCTGGTCCCAGACAATCTCGACTATCGGCTCAGCTTCTACGGCAGCTATTTCTAGGTTGTTCAGGAGAATGACGGCTCGTCGCATCCCTCTTGGCGAGTTCCAATTGACACGCTCCCCCCTGGGTCCAAGGATCTCGCCTTTGAGGGACCTACTGCACCTCTGCCGCTCGATATCGTGATTGAGTCTCGGACAGGCTCGTATGAAGTGCCCGATCAAGGTGCAATACTTACATTGTTCATTGGCCGGGTCCCTCCTGCCAAACCCCCGGTTTGCTACAGCTGCCGGAACCACGGCCTCTTGGGGCGGGAGGGTGGGTCTGGACACTTGCGCTTGCATCACTAACAACGCATTTTTCATTCTGTCCATCTTGCTATCAACCCCATGCACCCGTTCGTGCAGGCTCTTTATCCCCTTCTTGACCTTATCTCCTGTCTTCTCGGTCAGATCTATGACCTCCCCTTCCTTAAGCAGGGCTAGCGTTTCGGTAACCACTGTCTTTTCCGCAAGGTCTGTTACGGTGCTGAAATCCACGTCTCTCGTATATTCGAACTTACTGGTCTGCTGGTATGCTGACAAAATCTTATCCTTATCAAACTCAGAGAACTGCCTGAGGAAGTATTTACTCATTATGTGTTCCGTTACCCCGGGAATTCGCAGAGCCACTAACGTGAACGCCCTCAGGAAATCGTTGTAGGTCGCATAGTTTTTCCTCTGGACTGCGGCTAATTCTACCTCTGTTGCCATTTTTTCTGCCTTCAGGTATTTCCTCATCATCTCATTCCTGGTCTCTTTCCAGGATCCACTGGAGGCGACGATGGCCATAATGTCCCTTCCCGAACTTAGCGATACGTGTTGTCCTAGGTGCTCCATATTTTCCTCTTCCGTCCATTTCAGTAAGGCTGCTAGGTTCTCATAGTCTATTAGAAACTCCGTAATGTTGGCCCCATCGAACATGAGTTTCTTTTTTGCATATGCGAGATATCCCTGATTCTTATTCAGTTTCCTGTTGAGGGTGGCGACTACTTTCTTGAGACCGTCTTCGGAGCGCTTCCCCGGCTGCACTGGCTCCTTCCCCTTCCTTGCTTTCCCTCTGTTTCTCCCTGGTTTTCGGTGTTCCTTCTGGGTCGAACCATCCTAGCACTCTCTCCCTAAGGCTCTAGAGTCCGTCACACGCCCCTGTTACTTTTGGCGTGGCGGGTAGTCTGCTAGTGCCGATGTCAATGGCGGGTGGGGTCATAGCGTTTTTCGTTCCTTCCACCGGGGGGTCGTTCTTGTCCTTCCCCTTCTTGCTAGGTGTTCCTTTGTGACTATCATCCTTCCCCTCATACCTAGCCTCGGCCTGACCGGCCCTGCGTCCCTCACGTGACCCTGCGTCCTGGAGATCCTCCTCATCCCCAGCCATCATCTGTTCGATAAGTCTTGCCTTAAATTTTACGGTCCGCTTCTCTATCTCTGCCAGTTTATGACTGGTATCCAAGACTTTCGTCTTTTTAGGGGTGGCTCCTGCTGATTTCCGAGGACTTGTTCTCATATCGTTTCCCCCTTCCCTGTTTTTCTGAAGTCCTCTTTTGCTACCCCCAGCTTTCCCCGAGCTTTCTCCAATTGAGGCGTCCTTTCCGTCTTCTCCGGTCCCCTCCAGTTTGGCTGACTCTCGATCCCTGGCTGATCCCTCGTTTCGTTCCCCATCCCCATTCGTGCCCTGATTCCCTCTGCTCTGCTGATCATCGATCCCTTCCTCCGTCGCCATTTCTTTACCTAGCCTGCACGTGGAAATTTTTTTTGCGAAAAGACGGTCGATTGTTCATAACTGCCCTAGTCCCGCCCCTAAGACCCGCCTATTCCCATATTTTTGCGTCTTACATTAATCATTACGACTCTTTTGACTTTTCTCTCCCGGAGCATCCTTCATGTTTTCTTCTACTAGAGCCTTGCCGCTGCCGCTTTGGCATTTCATTACTACCGCGCTTTGATATTTAGGGCGGTACCTGAGCCTAGTGGCTTTCCTGTCGGGGATGGCCTTTTCGGCTTATTGGCATCCAAGTGCCCCAGAATCTTTGGAGCGGGTGGTCTTCCTAGTTCCTCCCTGCCGCATCATTGGGTCGGTCGGAACTCCAACCACTGCCTCTCTTTTGTTGATGGCTGCCTACTTATCTTAGTACCCATTCTTTATTTCCCTACTTCTCCCTGACACGTTTTTCTCAAGCTGGTCCCTCAGGCCTGCCCTGCTAATCCGGTTCCTCGAACAAGTCCGCCACCCCCGCAAGTTAATTTTCCCCCATCTCTATTTCCCTGATAATTATTGGGTCATATTCTTCAAATGACAGGTGGGGCAATCCGAATATCAGAATCTCGGGTAATTCGAGTAACTCCCAGGCCTGATTCCCCCAGAATGGCCCGTGTCTGACCGACACATCGTAGAACATGCCCGTTGTTTGTGGTCGGAAGAGGTGGATCCAGACTAGGGTCGAGTCCACCAACTCCCTTGCCCTCTTGAGGCTGCCGAATACCAGGTCTACCATGAAGCGAGGTACTCGGCACCTCAGACCGGTCATTGGAGCCTTAAAGTCTCACCAAACTCCTACCTCCACCCAGGTCCTCAACCCCACATTTCTTCTCCCTCGCACTTCCTGGCCTACCCGGTTTAGTACCCTAGTAGCCCTTTGGAAGATTGGCAGCAACCCATGCCCTAGTGCCAATTCTGTCCCCAACATGTGTCATCCGAGCTCTGGCAGGTATACAATCCCGGTCACCCTAAGATCAGTATACAGATCGTCTCCCGGTCCCCTGTTAATCCTCATACCATCCCACAAGCATTCCACCATCATGAACGCCTGTCCTTTTCCCATGGTCACGGCTCTCCATTTGGCATCCAATCCTTGAATCGCGTAGCCTGCTGGGAGCGACACCTCCCATCCACCTCCGTTTTCCGTGGGTGGTCGCGGATGCATGGGTCGCCGCGGCATCCGGGCGCGTCTCATTGCCATTTCCTACTTAGAAGTCCCCTGCACAGTTTTAAACAGCATGCAAGTTTACTTATTCCCCTTGGTCTTCAATTTTCTGCCCGGACAACTCCCCGATTCCTAGCCTGGCACTTCTTTTCCCCTTCTATGTCTTTCCCCTCTCCTTGGCCCTATTACCGACCTATCCCCTCCTCCGTCTGCTCATATAATCGATACAGATCATCTACCTACACCATTCCTTGGTTTATCTCCCGTCGGACGACGCCCCACAGGACCTCACTTCCCACGACCGGAACCCTCGGCCTGGTACTAAACACAGCACGCAGAATGCGCAGCACCTCGTACTTCTGCTCTCCGCTGAATGGTCTCATTTCTAAGAAGGCCCGGTAGTATTCTCAATGCACTATCGCCTCTTCATATGTCAGGCTTGCGAGATCGGCAACTGCTTGTCTAACAAGTTCCAAACCGCCCAGTTTTTCCAACAAGAAGGGTGACAGCCTCATTCGTACATTTTCACTAGGCAATTCAAAACTCCCAACCATGGCTACCCTAAGGTCCGCTGTTACATCGTCAACCCCCGGATCTGCGAACTCGAATCCCACTTGCCATACTAATTGTCATGCCCCTTCAAACATGCTCAACGGGTCTCCTCCTGATGCCAGTCGAACTCCGAACTCCCTCCATCCGTTTTCTGCCATATACAATCGTCCTTCTGCGCGCACGTGCCCCCGTGGGTCCGGGTTCCATTCCCCATTCTCAGTCACACACCACTCAACTTTCGTCACTAAGTAAACCATATTTTCCGCAAGCTCGATCCCGACCCAATCCGCCACCCGGTGCCATCCCTCGCCTGTTGCCGGCAGGTTAACCTCTATCCCACCCGGTACTTCCCTAGGCGGTTCAATGCCCAGGGGGCGCTCCTCAAGGAACGTCCTTCTTCGTGCCATCGCGCACTCGCCTTTGATCTCCCGGCTCGCGATCCGCGCTGAACCCTACAATGGCCAGACATCCCATTCCCTTATCTTAGCAATTTTTGTCGTATTTGTCTGGTTCCACAACTTCCCTTCGCTTAGTCGAACCATAGTACTTCGAACAGTTTGAACACATCATCCACATAGCAAGGTGTTGCTGCTACCTCACGGCGGATTAAGGCCTCCCTAGTTTCCGGGGCCACCTCCTGCCGGTCATTCCTTTCGATGTGCAAAATGATGAGGACCTCACGGGCTCTATCGCCGTGGAAGGGCCCGTATTTCAAGGACGCCCTATAAAAGTCCCCTGCCAGCCATGTGCAATTCACGTGTATTCTCTCCATCGTGTCGGCTACCTCTGTTACGTGATCAAAGCCCCCAAACCAGTCCGCCACAAACTCAGGCACCCAGGTCTTGGTTCGAGTGCCAGGTGATTTAACTTCCTTCCACCCTCCCATCACAACTCTACTGCTGACCGTATCCCAACCCTGGTTGGTGAACTTTTCCCCCGCCTGCCGGGCCCTTGCCTCAGCGTCCCCTAGAAGCCACATCGGGCTCTGCCCTGCCGCGAGCGTCGTGCAGAACAGGTGTCAACCCTGCTCCGAGAGAACGACCGTCCCAACCGATTCCACCCTTCCTTCCGCAATCTCTTCCCATCCTTCCTCTTCCCTCAATGGGTTCCAAGCACGTTCTATCCATAAATACGACAATTCTGGCACAATTTCATACCCCCGCCAGTCACATGTGGTCCCCTTCCATTCATTACTCGGTGGTATAGACATCTTTACTCCCCTCCTGGCTCGCTTTGGTTCCCACGTACAGTCCCACGGCTCGAGTTCCCGGACCATCGCTCCCTGCCTGCACATAGTTGACAGCCCATTTCCCAGGTAACTCCCTCTACCCTTTTCAAAAATCCCAGTCCTTCATCTCATCCCCGTCTTCCTCATCACTGAAATCGTCCTCCTCGTCTAGGAACATGTCTTTCACCCCTTCCAATAAGGTTTCCCCCGCCGCCACGTTTCGGTAAACTATCTGCCAATGCACCGGGCCGGGAACAAAGATTTTGTCCGCGCTGAGGAGGTTCAACACCTCAGCTAATTCTTCCGCCCAGTTTCCCTCGAATGGCCCAGCTTCCACCGACAACCTAAAAAAGTCTTGTCTAGCACATTGATACAACCTCAGGCGCGTCATCGACTGGCATATCCGTTCCAATTTATCCCTGGTTCCGAAGACGGCATCCACTAGAAACGGGGGTAGCACGCATCTCATTGTCCTAAGGGGGCGTCTCATATTTTTCTGGTCCCCGAGTTCCACTTGCACCTCCATCCTTTCCATCTCCATTTCCACCCGCTGACATGCTGCCCATATCACTTCCCGTTCCGCTTGCCTAAACAGCTGATCCGGTGCCGTGCCCAAAACTAGTCCCACTACCATTGCGTTTCCATTTCTTGAGATAGGTAGATCCATCCTCGAGATTCCACCGTTCCCCGGAATTCTAGGTCCGTCAAGCTAGGCGAGAGTCTCGTCAGGCTGACCTCAGTCCAGATTGTCTCTATCCAAAGGAACGCGTCCTTCTTGTCCAGCATCACGGTTTCATAGATTGGTTTTAGGTCGGTCCATGTCCCTTCTTCCGGGAGAACAACGGATACCCCATCCCTTACTTCTATAGGCATTTCCGAACCACTAGAGTAGACAGGGGGCGGCAACCATCGCGCCATCTTGTTTTCCCAGCGCCTGTCCTGTTTTTCACATGAGAGCACCACACGGCCCTTCATGGTCAGATGGTTTGCTTATCCCTTTTCTAGATGAGAGTTGTTTTCAGACCCCTCACCCGAGTCTCCCTAACTTTTCTTATCCATTTTCCAGGTGCCATTGCCCTACCATACCCCCCCAATCAATCATGCTTAGCCGGCATTGCTTTCTCGGGGTTCCTTTTCCTCCCGACTCCTATCCAGCCTCTTCCTCATGTTCTCTCACTCGTGCGGACTTAGACTTGGAGGTGAGAATAGACTTAAAAGCTCGGTCCTCATCCGCCATTCATCAGGCAACTTTACAAAGGGAGGCACAAAGGAAAAACTCATGCAGACATCACACACAGGTCGGTCATCTCCTCACCGATCTTTTCCCCGGAAATGGTCTCTCCACTGTTACTATCGGCAGGGCTTTACCCCATACCTCAAGCACAGCTCAACTGTCGCGAGCGCGGTACCCAGGTCTCGGCAAGGCATTCGCCCTTTCCTCCGTACCCAGAATACCCCATCCCAACTTGCTGCTCGTGTACCCACCGTTAATCTCGGGAATCACCCCGTACATCTCGGTAGGGCCATTGGAGCCAGCTGTCCAGGCATTCACTTCCATCGGTCCGATAAGGAACAGCTTTTCCCAAACCAAGCTACGAGAAGCTACTAATCGCCTCCGAGGTTCCCTCCTTGCCCCATACGCAGTGGTCCCCCTGCCGTCTGCTGACAAGCAGCCGCCCCGCCTGAAGGTGTTTCGCATCCCGCCTGGGCAAGGTCATCGAGCCATGCTCGGTCCGCTCGGGTGAGAATGTTACTAACCAGCCGACGAGACCAACTCCTGCCTGACAGCCCTGTGGACCGACCCCGCACATGGAATCCGGCGAACTTCAAAGAGAACGACTTTTTGCAACCTGCACTGGCTGGTGCAAACCAATCATTTCCTTCCAAATGGCAGGACGCTCGAAAACCCTAATCATGCAATCACAAGTCCCAAGCGGGACACACATAACACAAGTGTCTTTCCCCGGGTGCACCCAGCGCTTCCTACCCATAGCTCACAATTGTTTTCTCCCGGAACAGTGTGTGCCACTCACCCCTAACTTCCATACATAGTGTCTGGTTCCTTCTCATGAGCATCTTCAAAGGTGAGCTAGTTTTCCCCTGCAGTCTAGCAACTCCCTTCATTCCCTTCATCTTCACTTGTGTGTCCGTTCATAGGGCAGGATTGTTCCTTCTTGATTACCGTTTGTGTTCATATGGCGTTCCTTCAAGCATTTAAGTGCGGTGCACGGAGCCCGCTGGGCTCCGAAGAGAAGTTGAGAAGCACCCAGGTCGGTCGGATCACTCCGCCGCGGGATTTTCATTGGAACCCGGACTGGCCCGGAATCCCAACCGCCTGCCAGGTAACCAGAGCCCTTCTTTCGCACGAAGAGGAAGGGTCGACCTGCGGCTTGCCCAAGGCTTCCCCGGCCTGACGAATCATCAGTCCAAGGGAAGGAGGACTAGAGTCATCTTCAAAGAAGATGGTGGAGTAAAAGTGCGAACATGCATGTTCTTCCTCCAGGCCTGGCCTTGCCATGCGCCCAGCCACCCTCAAATCCGATTCTCTCAAAGGGCAGGGCATACACAAGTCCATATTCCTCATCTTTACGTTTGTGTTCTCGGCCATGCGTCGGGCGCCCCCCTCAAGATCGTAGGGGTCAGTTTAACCCAACTACCCGACACCTCCACCATTTTTGTAGGGGCCGTACTTTGAAGGACTTTCGAGCCTTGGTCAACCCCACTGCAGGTCCCACCTGGCTCGACCCGCCCACGCTCACGCTCAGGGTGCGGGTCGTTCGTCCCAGGAGCACCCCCACCTAGTGCTTTGAGATGGATGGGGGTGGGCCGGTTGCGAGAGGGCTTTACATTGGTGGATGTAGCTCCGCTCTCGCGTCAAGATGGTAGTTTTTCGGCACTCGTGGCGTTTTCTTGATTCATTAAGGTCTGACCAGGCAATTGCTCCTTCCAATACGCAAGCAGTCCAGGGAGTTCATTGAGGTCTCATTTTCTTATCGTGCGCAGGCCAAGCGTCATCCATTGGGCCACGCACCTTTTCACTAAGCCTAGCGGCCCAAGACAGCCCCTACGGCATCCTTGGGGAGGGGTGGCATCACCCGGACCCCTAGCCGCTATATTTTTTTTGCTTGAGCCACTAACATTGCATTCACCTATCCGAGGCTGCCCTTAGTCCTTCCGGGCTTGCATTGCATTCAAGAGAGTCATCGCATTCAATCATCACGTAAGCCACATCCAAGCATCTACCGTCCATCCAAGCATCCGGCCGTCAAACCCATCCTGTATTCATGGCTTTATGCGAGGTCTACGACCTTCGCTCAACACCCATCCCAAGCTACTCACCTGCGCAAGACCACACAAAGCGAAAGTCAAGTACAATCCCCATTGGGGTCAACACATCGCCCCTCCCACATGCCCAAGTTTCCTTTGCCTTTAATGATCCTTTGGTTATCTTTCCCTTTACTTAAGCAAGTCATGCCTTCACCGTAGTCATGCAGCCGGGGAAGATGGTTGAGTCAAACTGACCTCGTCCAAAAGCAGCACTCCTTTTTGTTTTTCACAAGTGTTCCCAATAGCTTCGTATCCTTTCCTTCTTGGTGGCACAAGGGACCGGCTGCCCTTCCCTTGCCCTCGCTTTCCACCAAGTGAGGACCAGGTTCCTTCCCGTTCGTTCCCTGGCAATGTAACAGGTGAGGGTAGAGGTTAGTCAGTCATATGCCATGGAGGGGAGGAGGTGACGGAAGGGTTAAGGGCTAGAGGAGCTTGAAGGAATGGAGGAAGATGGAGGGAGAGAGAGAGAGAGAGAGAGAGAGAGAGAGAGAGAGAGAGAGAGAGAGAGAGAGAACAAGAAACTTCCCATCCTAATCGACCTTGCTCCTTGACTTACCCCAACTGATCCTACCCGAGGTCCCGTGCCTCCCCCTTGCGACTTTCCCCTTAATGCTCTCGATTGGACGGGGGGGGGGGGGAGGTGATAAGCGAGGAAGGGTTAGGGCGTCCGGCTATGGTGGATGGGTGTAGGTGATGGAGGTTGAAGAAGGTTTGGGGTGTCC